CTTACTTATGCAGATCATGCATCAATCAAATTTGAATTAAACCAAACCGAACCAAACCAAACTTCCCCATCCCTAGTAATAATAATGCTAACGAATTACTTACACATGTATAGTACTTAAAGTTTTAACAACGAATCGTTAAAAATAAACAATATTAACAATATAACAATAAAATTTATTGGTTTATTTTACATGAATAGTATTAATATATAGATAAGCGCTACTAAAAGAAACCAAAATTTCAGGCTTTGAATTTTTAAGGCTGAGTTGATTTAATTATAAGTTCAAAAACCTGAAGTCTAATTTTCTTTTAATATTATTCGAATACAAACAAAAAGTATCATTTTGTTTATTGTTTTTGTACATTTTGTTATATAAGCCACATGCTGTGCTTAATAGCCACGCGCAAAATATTTTGATTCACTAACATGGCTCAACCTTTTCAAAGTATTAGAGGATTTGATCTTCGCAGAGTTTGACTTTTTTCAGGGGTTCATCTTTACCAGGGTTTCGCCAAGGTTACACCGTTTCGCCAAAGTCTTGCCAGTTTCGTTTTTCGCTGGATTTAGTTACGCCTTTCGACATTTGCCAAAAATGGTTTCGCCTAACAATAGTAGTCCAATAAACAGTAGGTATATTTTGTCTCCTAAGTAAAATTTTTTAATTTAGGGATTTTTTTGAAGGTGCTCTTCTAAAGCTATTAATGATGTTCGCGGTGAATTTTTGTTAGTGAAACGTTCTCAAAAGGTACGTGCTTTAAACATATCCTAAAATAGTAACTAAGATCTTCTGTCGTGGGTTTCACCTTTCATATTATGATTTATTATTCTATGAGAAGGTGAAACCCGCGTTGCAAATCGGTAAAATCCGCGTTGATTGGTTATTATATGTAAAATCCAGTGCATCCTTACGTCAGATGACGCCCGGCCTGAGTTCTGGAGTTATGATTAGGGTTAGAGTGAAAATCACAGGCCAATTATTGCAGATCATTTAATGCCGGTCATCTGACGTGTGTCAGCTGCAAACTGAAGCAGACGCGCAACAGATGTTAGATATGTAAAATAAATAAAATCCGATATAGGTAGGTGAAATCCGCTATCAAAACAAATTTTTTTCTAAAATTTTGAGCAAAGATATCCCTGACCAAATTTGAAGTTTTTTTTATTTGAATTCTAAGAATTTATAAAATTCAAATAGAAAAACCATCGAATTTGGTCAGGTGGCTGTCGAGATATCTTCTCTAAAAGTTTTAAAAAATTTGGTACAGCTTCTATTTTTGAGACGTTTAGAGTTTTTTCTAAACCTTTGAGTGAGCGAAGACATCTCGATAATCACATGATCAAATTCGATAAACATTCTTTTATATGAATTCAATGAATACACAAAATTCAAATAAAAATTTTTATCGAATTTGGTCAGGTGGTTGTCGAGATATCTTCGCTCAAAGTTCTAAACCTTTTGTTTTGATAGCGGATTTCACCCTAACTATATCGGATTATTTTACATATCGGATTTCACATACAGTATAATAAACAATCAACGCGGATTTTACTGATTGACAACGTGGGTTTTACCCTTTGCATTATTTTTATTTTTTTTAATATTTGATTATACTTTAAGCTTTATAAATAGAAAGTCCTTAGAAACACCGTAAATCGCAAAATCCAGACGTTCCTGCGTAAAGATTTTCTTATCGGACACAATTCAAAAATTTAGTCTCTCTCATGATAATGCAAATTACTCAATTAATAAATGTTATTCCTTTTTGGTTTAGAAGTTTGACTGAAATGTTATACATATGAGCTCTACAAATTAGCGAAACATCTCACCGTCACACAATTGAATGAATATTTTGTACAAAATTTATACAGCATTAAAAATTTAAATTTGGTTATCCAATCAAGTTTTCAAAACTCGCAAAATGATCTACAAAACTAACCAATTCTGTAAAAATGTCCTTCAGCCAAAAAGGTCAAATTCTAGTGTCTATTACTTTAAATAATCAGAAAATCAGTCAATGATCATAGGTTATGTGTAATTCTTTCCCGCTAACGGTATTGATCTTTAACGTTATTAACGTTAATTGTCAACATTAAATAATTTTTTTTTGGAAAAGAAACAAAATTGATTTAAAAAACACCGGAATCTCCAAAACATTTAATTTGATAAATTTACCCAATTTGTACTATACTAAAAATCGTTTTATTTCTTTCAAATTCGTTAATCTCGAATTCGTGCAATTTTTAAATTTTTTAAGAAAATTAATTTCTAACCTTAGACAAAATTTACCTAAAATATTGGACGTATCACATAATTATTATATATAAAAACTTTGTATATAGCAACAATAATATGTGAAAAACAAATTCGATCACTGGCCCTAGCTTTATCTTATCCTAAATTTTGTATAATATTATATCGATCAAAAAAAATCATCATCACAATGAGAATTTGGTTTTATTTACGAAATTCAATACGTAGATTGAATAGGACGAATAAAAAGTTATTTAGGGTCTTTTTAGTTTTAATTTTTATAATATTTCAATACCTAATTTTAACATACAAGATTAATAATATACCTGGAAATCATCAAGAAGCAAGTTTTGGTTTTAATGTTGCTAAGTTTGCTAATCCTCTTGTTGGAACTGCTAGAGGTAATGTTTAATTTAATAGTTCAATTTCGGAGTTAATCAGACACCAAATCAATAGATCATCATTACCTCCTTGGCATTAATAGATGGGCATGTATTCCCCGGTCCTTGCCTTCCCTTTGGGGTCGTCAAAGTAGGTTTCGATACTGATGATAGATCAGATTTTAATGGCGGGTAAGAATTAGTTATTTAATTTCCATCGCTCAACAAAAAGAGTTGAGCAAATATATAAAATGAATGAGATTCTTTAATATCTCTTTCTTTTTTATTTACTGGCATCCAAACACTTTTTGCAAGGCTATTTATATAGTATAAATACACAGGTCAAATGTATAAGTGTTAACAAATCTTCTGATATGCATCCATTATTATTCATTCGTCCTGTGTGGAGAGAAATGGAATAGTATTCATTCACGAATGTTCTGCCTGTCTCTAGTATAAAGTAAAATCGTTATCTTACAATAATATTATTGCTCATAATTGATTTTGCAGATACACTACTCAAGGATCTATTACGGGGATTTCTCGTAAGTATTTCTATATATTTCTATAGATTAAGCTTTTTTTTCTTTTTTTTAAAACTAACGAATACTTACATACAGAAAACTTTTTAAATAGATTTACATGTTAGTGGAACAGGAGGTAAAAAAAACAAAATTGAAATAAATAATCTTTAAACATTATGCAACATCTATTAACTTATAACAAATCAGGTGAACCAAAATATGGAGTAATAAGTCAATTTCCGGTGATGGATTTGCCACATGACAGACTCAGACTAGATGAATTTTCATCCAAAAGATCGTTTGAGCATTTTGAAGCTGGTTATTTAAAATTTGGATTAGAACGTTACAAAATCATGGTTGAATTAACTGCTAGTCGCAGAACCGGTGTTCATCGATATACTTTTCCACCATCTGAAAATGAAGCAAAAGTTATTCTTGATTTGGGTCATATTTTATCTTTTGGTTGGAGGTATTGCAATATATGTATTACTGATGTCGTTTATGTTAACTTTATTATTTACATACATTATTTACGTAATGATTACAGTGCCAGATATCAGACCCACTATGTACTATACCCGGGTCTATAACATAGATTAAGATTTTAGTAAATTGTAAAATACCCG